TAATTGTACAACAGTGCAAGGACTCACTTAAGAACAAACAATTTAAATCAATTAGGTTACATTTGTCCAAGCCAAAATTTTGAGCTCTCTGGTCTAGTAAAACAAAWTTTGGATGCCAGCTGTTTTCTTTTCTTATTCTTTTTATTTTTTATCAGCGACAAAGAAAGGAATTCATTCATTAAAGATTAAAACAATTACAACAAGAGGTTGTGAATACAAAGGTAAAAGAATGGTTACCACTATTTGACCCCACCACATCCTTTTTACATTTGAGCCCCAAAAAATTGCTGTCTATTGACCCCTTGTTTGGCTAGACCATCGGCCAAACAGTTGGCTGACCTCTGTACCCATTTAACTTGTACCTGCATGTCTTTTGAAAGCCACTTGAACTGTCTAAATTCATTTCCGAAATTCCACACCACATTCTTTTCCTTCATTAACCAGCTACTACCACCTGTGAGTCATCTTCTATCATCATTTTGGGTGCCATCTGTTAGAGGACAGGTTGAGTGCTACATAGACTTTTGAATTCTTCCATCATGGATGGAAGAATTGAAAAGAAAATGCTAATATTTATTTATTTTTATGAATGAAAATGCAAATATTTATACTATTATCAAAAGTATTTTGTTCATATATGTTGCTTACTTCCTTGAGCTCTAGCATAGATTTTGTACCAGAAAGACTAATATTCCAGTGAAAGAAATAAAACTTTATTTATCTTATTTTGTATGTCWTTTTCTGAAGAACCCGAGGGTTGAAATATCCACTTCTTGTCAAGCGCTTGGCTTGTATGATTATATCAGGATCAGCATCTGCAGACAGTCTTGACATACTTCAACCTGCCAATCTATCCCCTGAGATGGTTTTAGAGGTAAGCAGCTTACATTATTTTTGCAACTAGAAGCCTTAAACACTGGTAATAAGAAGGCTGAAATAGAAAGATCTGTTGCAGATAACTAGGGGTGGCAATTTCATGCCCATCCTGCTGAAACCGCCCAACCCACCCATTTATGATCCACCCAAACCTGCCCATTTACCTAGTGCATTGAAAACGGGTTGAATCACAATCACCTATTGGGCCAACTTAAATGGGTTGGGTCAGGTCGGTCATGGGTACCCATCAGGTTATCTGCTAAATACAAGTATAAGTTGCCTAACCGTTTTCTCATTAATTCCTGTTAAATAACTCGTTAGCTCATAATTATAGTAATTAATTCTCATTCATAATTAATGCATTAATTTTTTYGTTAATTACTGGAAATAATTATTAACTGAAACTATTAATACGTAGCATTAAATCAACCTGTAATCAATTGCCATAATAAATTCCAAGTGGAGTTTGGCACAAATATGGTTCAATTCATACCCGACCAAAATGAGCCCAAACTTGAACTCAATCGAATGGTTTAGCGGTCTGATCCAGTTCGAACAGTTCAAACAACCAATTTATATGGTCCAAATTTAATTAGCCAGTTCAACTGTGGTCTAGTCCTGTCAATCTTTAGACCACTAACAGGTCCAATTAACCAGTTTAACCATGGGTTGAACTCCCATTGTTCTTCCATTTAAATTCAAATGCATTAACTATAACCATTAACGTTCATTAATTACTAATCCAAATTTAATTCCACTTAAGTTCTCCACTGTAAAAACTATGTGCATGTGGAGTGATTTGAACCTAGAACACTTGTGTGAAAGACAAACATTCTTACCATTAAGTCATGTCTTACCATGTTGATAAAAGTGATTTGGTTTTAGCTTTTAAGCCATTTTCATAAAACTGAAGTTGTTACAAGGTCAATGGGTTGGGTCAAGGTKGGTTTGAGTTGAACCCAACCCATTTAATTTTATTTAAATGGGTTGGCMGGTCAGATGGGGTGGGTTGAAGATCAATCCAAACCCAACCTGCCCAATTGCCACCCCTAGAGATAACATACATATTGAAAAGTGATACTTGGCTTTGTAGGATGAAGGAA